AAAGATTTAAACATTTGGCTATATACAATTTTAAAATGTGTAAACAGCCAAAACACATCATCAACGAAGCCAAAAGGCATAAAACTGGGGAAAATATTTGCAACAAATGTGAAAAGCAAATGACTAATATGAATAATAAACAAAGGATTGCTATAAATCAATAAAAAGTAGACAAATTGGTAAAGGACAAAAATTGGTAAAGAACAGAGGACAACTTATAAATGGCCAACAAACATATAAAAAGATGCTAAACCTTACACTTAATTCAGAAGTAGATGAAAAATATAGATCAGCAAATATTAAAAAGATTAATAGCCCTAGTGTTGACAAAGTTTTGGAAAAACATGCATTCTCTTTTGCCACTGGTAAAAAGGTTTGGGAGTGTAGTTTGGCAACATCAATCAAAATTCTAAATCCACAAAACCTTTTGACACCAGGAATTCCACCACTAGGAATTTATTCTACAAATGTATTATAATTTGTATAACACTATTTATAAAGATGTTTATTATAAGATGGTTTATAATAGTAAAATTTGGACATACCCAAATATCTATCATATGGCACTGTGTCCTTTTTTTTTTAAAAAAAGACATGGTATATCCACAGAGTGTAATGTGCTGCAGCAATTTAAAAAGATTGAGGCAGCACTGTATGTGCTGATACGGAGTTGGGAGAGATTTTGAGTGGAAAAGCAAATTGCAGATCACATGAAAAGCATGATTTTTTTTAAGGGAAAGGGGGGATAAATTAGGAGTATGGGATTAACAGATACAAATCACTACACATAAAATAGATAAGCAACAAGGACTTGCTGTATAGCACAGGGAACAATATTCAATATCTTAAAATAACCTATAATGGAAAATAACACACACATATATATATATAAAAACTGAATCACTATACTGTACAGCTGAAACTAACACAATATTGTAGACCAACTATATTTCAATTAAAAAAAAGAAGGGGGAGGGGGAGACTAAAACACCATGACCTAGTAGCAGTGATTACCTATGATCAGTGGGAATAGGGCAGGACAGGGGAACAGAAAGCTTTTAATTTTTACTTTATGCAGTTCTAAGTGGTTTAAACTTTCTACAACAGACACATGAATTTTGTAATAATTTTTAAATAAAGTATTTTTAGAAACTTCAGACAAAAACTTAAATAGAAAGACATACCATATTTTCAAATAGGAAGACACAACATCAAAATATGTCCATTCTAGGGGGAGGGTATAGCTCAGTGGTAGAGTACACGCTTAGCATGCACAAGGTCCTGGGTTCAATCCCCAGCACCTCCGTTAAAATAAATAAACAAATAAACCTAATTACCTCCCCCCCAAAATAAAGATATGCCCATTCTTTCTAAGTTAACTTATAGATTTAATATGACCCCAGTAAAACTGCCTACTTTGGGGGCTACAGAAGCTTATCGAATGTTCATATGGAAAAATAAGCAAGGAAGAGTAACCAGAAAACTTCTGAAAAGGAAGAATAATGGGGCAAGGGAGACTAGTCTTACTAGATATTAAAGCATATGTAATATAAATAGCAACGATGTTTATTACAGTAATGTTTGTATCAGACACAAACCATAGACCATTGAAATACCTACCAATATCAGACCAGTTAAATATGGTATGTCCATGTTACAGAATACTAAGCAGCCATTAAAAATAATGAAGTAGATATACTGATGTGAAAAGATGTTCATAATATATTGCTAAATCCAAAAAACAAGTTGCAAAACAATAAACATAATGGAATCCCATTTATGGAATGGAGGAAAGTCTTATGCTTATATGAACACACATACATTACATGTATGTAAATATATAGAAAGTAGGTGGGAATTATGCCAACTGAACTGATAACAGTCATTACCGCCAAGGAGGGGACTGGGATTCAGATGGTAGGAGGGAAGGTAACAGGGACTTTTGTTCTGTATACTTCTAGAATATTTTAATCTTTTATGATAAGAATGCATTCATGTATTATCTGTGTAATTTTTTTTTCATTTCTTTTTTTAAACTTTTTTTGTTTGTTTAGTTCTGGGGGGGAAGCAATTAGGTTTATTTATTTTTAATGGAGGTACTAGGGATTGAACCCAAGACCTTGTGCATGCTAAGCAAGTACTCTACCACTGAGCTATACCTCTCCCCGACTCTATCTGTGTAATTTTTAAAAAAGCAGCTCATAACTTTACTGCAAGAACAGTTACAACCTGCTTTCTTGTGAATGTTTAGGCATATTTGACCACAAGCAAAGCTTACAAATGCATCTTCAGTGATTCATTCAATCACGTGTTCATTTCCTCATTCATTCAACAAATATTTAGGCTCCTGCTCTGTGCCAGGCACTCTCTCTGATCCAAAGCAGCTCACTCACCAGATGATTGCAGAAGCCGTCAGTCAGACAAAGTGACTGAGCTGCAGGAGCAGTCGATATGACCCTGATCAATTGTGTATGACTAACGGTGACCAATAAAATAAGAAGCTAATGTCTATCACAAGAATGTCCAATAGTGAGAAAGAACATGACAGAGGCAGAAAATTTGGATCTTATGATGTCAAAAGCAAGCAGCTTTGAAAAAAATTCAACATGTTTCTTGTAAAACTTTTGCCTAAAGCCTTCCTGGCTCTTGGAACCAACTATGGAATTGACTCTGCCCTTCCTTGGACTTTCTGAGCCACCAAAGTGGAAGCCTCGCCATGGAACTCTGCATTTTCCTTCTGTATCATCACAGATTCAGGAAGTCAAGAGTGGCAGGGTCCTGCCAGGGCAGCCGAGATCTGTGGCTAAATGTCTGAATCCTCCCTTCCTGGGGAGGACTGCGTTTTAAGTGGCCAGAGCCAGAGTGCGAGGCCTCTAGCAGAGGCTGCCAAGAACCTGAAGATCAGGTCAAGTAAAAGCCCACAGGAGACAGCTGAGGTCTGATCACCATGATGACCTCGCACATGCCCAAATCCAAAGAGTCAGAGGCAAGAATTTGGCGCTGCGTCTCCTCTCCACTCGCCAGCCCAGTCTCTCTGAGCTACCGAATTCCCTCCTCACATTCCCCTTTCTGTCCACCCACATCCTTTGGACTCAATTCATAATGTTGGCTGTCCTGTTAGAACCTTGGCTCTTCTCCATATAGCGCCTGGCTCTCTGCCTTGGGCTGCTCAAAAGTCCTGAGACAACCCAGCCCCCGGGACCTTACTGACAGAAATCAAGGCTGTGCTGGCACTCCCAATCGCATCTGCCCTAGTCCCTTTGGGAAGGGGGCAAGGAGGACCAGGACCCAGATCATGGGCATGAGAATCTCACTAAAGGACCCCTGGCAAGGCCCTGTCTGAGCAGCTCTCGCATTCCAATGTTGCTTTCTTGGCAATATTTGCAACACTTGGCAGTGTAAATTCCCAAATTTCTCAGTGTAAATTCCCAAATTGGTATTCTGGATTAGCAATCAGCCCCTTGTAAATTTAGACTGGGGAATTCTGACCCAAGAACTGAGCACTCTTGGGGATACCAACAAGACAATGTTTCTGAATCCTTGAATTTGAGAAATAGATCCGGGGTCCCTGGAGGCCCTGCTCCTACAGTCAGCTGGTTTCCTTCTTTACCGCCTCATCATGGCAACAGGCAGAGTCCAAGGGATGATTCTGAAATGGAGGACCGTCTCTGGGAAGGTGGGCTTAAGGAGGGCCTCCAGGAGGGTCCTTGGGCGAAGTCTAAAGGGTGTGAGAGCATATGGTGGTGGGGAGAGGTTGATGGCCTGAAAGAAGGCGCAGAGTAGCAAAGTAGTTAAGAATGTGGGCTCTGCCTTTGTTTGCATCTCAGCCTGGCCACCTGCAAGCTGTGAGGCTCTAGACAAGCTAATTAACCTCTCTGAGGCTCAGTTTCCTCATTTGTAAAATGAGATCATCATAGCACTTACTGCTGTGTTATGAGAATTAAATGAGATAGTACCACAGAAGACTTAGCACAATGCCTAGCACATAGGAGGCACTCAGTAAATACCACCTGTTTCTGGAGGAGAGAGTATGGTTAAGAATGTTCCAACAGGGAGGAAGAGGGGAATGAAGGAGATGTGAGAAAGACTCAGATAATTTGCCTAATTCCCACTTTTTTCTTAGGGCCAAGCTTGAATATTTCAGGTGCTTACCCAGAAACTTATTTGCATGCTATGTACGTTTCCCTGTCTCAAATCAGTAATCTGATTTCCAGTCCCAATTCTGTCCTTGTCTAGATGTGTGACCTTGGGCAAGTCTCCTAATCTTTCTATGCCTCAGTTTCTCCAAATGTAAACCTAAGTGGTTGTTGTAGAAAAATGTTAATGTCCTATTCTAACATTCTGGTTCTACCTTCCATACTTGCCTTTTTCTTTGGGAAAGTATAAGGGGTTGAATTGTGTTCTCCAAAAAGATATGTTGAAATCCTAATCCCTTGTACCTATGTGACCTTATTTAGAAATAATTACAGATGTAATCAAGTTAAGATAAAGTCATTAGGGTAGGCCCTAATCCAATATGACTGGTGTCCTTATAAGAAGACTAGAAGATATACAGAAACACACAGGGAAACACTTAGCTTTGGGAAAATAGGTCAACAGGCACATAAAATAAGTGATGCGTTCCATTTTCATACTCAAAATCATGCTTTTAGAGACAACTTTCTCAGGCATCAAAGTTCACATGTGATCCAAAATACTTTAAAAAATCATCAAACAACATGCTATACCTTTGAAACTCTATATATTAATATCATGAAGTAACATTTCCACCCTGAAATTTTCACAAACTGATAAAATAACCTTTCACAAATTCTTTAGTCTTATTTTTCTGACTTCTTGGGCATTTGACAGCAATTTCAAATATTATGAAACATTCTTAAGTATTTTATAGCAGCCTGCAAATTTTGACTTCCTATTTTTATTCATAAAAGAAACTTTCTAACAGACTTTAATGTATTATATTAATACAGTAGTATGTATATAAAATGACACTGTGCAGGGAGGGTATAGCTCAGTGGTGGAGTGCTTGCTTAGAATGAAAGAGGTCCTGGGTTCAATCCCCAGTACCTCCATTAAAATAAACAAGTAATAAATAAATAAACCTAATTACCCCCTCCCAAAAAATCATACTGTTTCTTGAATTTAGGTCACTGAGTTGAAAGCAGAGTTACCAATTGTTAAATAAAGTGTATTTAATCAGGGTGTCTAGAAGGTGGTCTCAGTCCAGACTGAGAACAGCCAAATATAACCTCAAGGAAACCATAAAGTTTAGAATGCATTCACTTTTAATATTTCCAATAAAATGTTTTAATACATGCCTTGTTTAAGAAAGAGAGAGAGAGAGGAGGAGGAAACAAAGAAAGAAACAGGGAGGAGACAGCCATGTGGTGATAGAGGCAGAGATTGGAGTGATTCATCTATAAAACCAAGAAACACCAACCAGCTGTCAAGGGCCAGCAAACAACAGAAGCTAGGAAAGAGGAAAGGAAGGATTCTTCCTGGCAGTTTTCAGAAGGAGCATGGCCCAGCTAACACCTTGATTTCAGACTTCTAGCCTCCAGAACTGTAAGAGAATAAATCTCTGCTGCTTTAAGCTACCAAGTGCGTGGTATTTTGCTGTGGCAGCTCTAGGAAACTAATCCAGAAAGTTTTCCCCAAAGCATGTCTATCTCGTGCTATCAAACCATTGTTTCCAAGGGTCCGGTCTGCTTTCATATCTCCATCTTTAATGAAAGAAAGCTTAAGGAGAGCATTCTAAATTCCTGATTTAGTAATTTCATTAAATGATAAAAAATTAATGCACGATATACCAGACATTCAGAAAATGTAAATTACCAGAAGATTGTTATAGCAACCTCCATACTAATTAACATGTCTTAAGAAAGGCCATGCATGTTTATCAACTAATTAGAATCACACGATCAAAAGAATAAAGAATGCATCCTTGGGGACATAAAATAAATAAATAACTATAATATTTTCACTCGATAGTTGGCCATGTTCCCTTAAACTTATTTGAGTATGAGAACTTGATGTATAAATGAAATGCTTTTATAGTTCAGATTTGATATTTAGAAGAGACTTAGACCATTAGAGAAAATTGTTTTATGTTTATATATTTGAGAAAAGCTATGATGCTTATGATGCCATGTGAAGAAACTAAGCTACAACGCATTTCAAATCTTGAAGAAAAGAATGTTTTAGAGACTCGTTTCCATATTCTTATGAGACCTGAAAAATTATCAAAAGTTCAGAGGGTTTGATTAAAAAATGCACCAATTCCTGGATCAGGGATTGCCAAGTATAACCCACAAGCCAAAATTTATCCCACCACTGGTTTTTGTATAGCCCATGAGCTAAGAATGGTTTCTATACACTTAAATGGTTGAAAAAACCTCAAAAGAAAAATATTTTGTGACACATGAAAATTATATGAAATTCAAATTTTAGTGCCTATAAATGAAGTTTTATTGGAACACAGCTTCCCTTGCTCATTCATTTACTCATTGTCTATGGCTACTTGTATTCATTTTCTGTTGCTGTGTAGCAAAGTCTCACAAACTTAGTGGCTTAAAACAACACCAGTTGATGACCTCATGGTTTCTGTTAATCAGAAGTCTGGGCAGGACTTGGTGCAGGGTCTCCCCAGGCTGAAACGAAGGTACTGGCTAAGGCGGTAGCTTCATCTGAGGCTCGAAGTCTTCTACGATGCTCACACAGTTGTTGGCAGAATTTAGTTCCTTACAGCCGTAAAACTGAGGCCTCCTTTCTCATATTGGCCATAAGCACACAGCTGCTCTCAGCTCCCAGAGGCCACCCACATTCCTTGCCACATGGCCCCCCCATCTTCAAAGCCAGCAACAGAGACTCTCCCTCACACTTGAGTCTCTCTTCTTACTGAGAAGAGCCCCATCCCTTTCAAAGGCTCATCTGATTGCGTTAAGCCTGCCAAAAAGTCTTTAAGTCCATTGATTTGGGACCTTAATTACATTGCCAAAATCCCTTCACTGGAGCACCTAGATTCATGTTGAATTGAGTAACTGAAATAAAGTGTGTGTACCTCCAGGGCCAGGAAGCTCGAGGGCCATCTCAGAATCCTGCTCACCATATTGCTTTCCAGCGACTATGGCAGACTTGAGGAGATGCAGCGAAGACCATGTGGCCTGCAAAGCTGAAAATATTTACCAGCTAGCCCCTTACAGAAGAAGCTGGCCAACTCCTGTCCCCAATTAAGCTGAGTTTCAAGTTCAAGAACTGTGTGATCCATGTTCAGCAAATAACTCTAAAGCTAGGATAGTATAAACAGAAAGAGGAGCCATGAAGATGGGAAAATAGTAGCATTATTAAACTGGTTAAGCATTTCACTCACACATACCCCAAAACAGATGATACTGACTAATGGTAATTTCTTCAAATGAATCATTTCAAGCACACATTAAGGGAATAATAAAATTATTACTCATGTCATGTCATGATATTATCACCACCTACTCATCTTTGTCAAATCTTAACATATTTGCTTCTTTTTTAAGTAACAAAACACATACAGTTGAAGCCCCCTATTGTACCCTCTTCTAATCCCATGCTACTCCCTCCCACTTCAGAGGTAACCACTACCCTTTGACCACAGGTCCATCCACCCATAGACAACATATGGCACAGTTTATCATGTGCCAAAACATGGCATGTTTTGAAACTTTACATAAATGAAATTATACAACATGTATTCTGTAGTTTGGTTCTTTTGCTCAGTGTGTTTATGAGATTCATCCAAAATGACGTGTTTAGTTATACAGTTGTTCTTTGGTATCCACAGGGGATTGGTTCCAGGCCCCCGCCACAGATACCAAAATCCATGGATGCTCAAGTCCCTTATATAAAATGGTGTAGTATTTGCATATGTATATACTACCTACACATATCCTCCTCTGTACTTCAAATCATCTAAGTATATAATCCCTAATGTAATATAAATGCTATGTAAATAACTGTAAATACAACATAAGCGCTATGCAAGTAGTTGCTAGTGTGCAGCAAATTCAAGTTTTGCTTTTTGGAACTTCTGGAATTTTGTTTTGAATATTTTTGATTTGAGGTTGGTTGAATCTGTGAATGCAGAAACAGTGGTTATGGAGGGCCAGCGGTAATTTGTTAATTTTTACTGCTGTACAGCATCCCATTTTATGAGTAAATCATGGTTTGTCTCTTCTACTGGTGACATACATTTGGTTTATATCCAGTTGTTTGCTATTAAGACAATGCTGCTAGAAACATTCTTGTGCAGTCACTTGACTCAAATTTGAAAAAGCATCTCTAGCATTTCTACCTGGGAGTAGAATTTCTGGGTTTTAGGGTAAGTGACATTTATCTTTATTAGATATTTCCAAATTCTTCTCCAGGATGGTTGTGCCAGTTTGTACTCCAACTAACCGTGAAAAGTGTTCCTTTTTCCTGAAGTCCTTCCCGACAATCAGTATTGTCAGACTTCTAATTTTTGCCAGTCTCTTGCATGTGAAGTTATTGTTTAACTTTGCATTTTCCTGCAAATGATATTAAATATCTTTCCATATTTTTATTATCTCTTCAGGTGTCCTTTTCTATGAACTTCCTTTTCATAGTCTTTAACGATTATCCTATTGAGTCATTTATTCAAAGTTTTCTAATTGATCTGTAGTTCTTTACACATTCTAAATACTAATCCTTTATCATTACATTCATTTCTTATCCACTCGATAAGCATATATTAGTATACACTATGTGCCAGACATTATTTGAGGGCTGAGAAAAGTGAGTCAGCAAAACAAAGTCCCTGCTCTCAAGGAGTGAAGAGACACGTAATAAATAAATGAGCAAATATAGTGTCAAGTAGTAATAGGTGCTATGAAGAGAAAACAGAGGAAAAAGATGAAGCGACAGAGGTGTTATTTTCAATACGGTGGTCAGATAGGCCTCTTTGAGTAGATGACCTCTGAACAGAGGCATTACTGAACTGAAGGAGAGAGCAAAACATATATTTGGAGGAAGACAGTTTCAGGCAGAGGAAGATCACGTGCCAAGGGTCTGAAGTAAGAGCAAGCGTGTTGCAAATATCTTTTCCTAGTTTGTGGCTTGTTTTTGTTGTTGTTGTTGTTATTGTTTATGATTTATTTCTTTATACACAATTTTTCTCATTTTAATGTAATCAAATTTATCAAACTTTTATTATAGTTTATTTGCAGTTTGTTTAAGAAATTCTTCCCTACTGTATAGCACAGGGAAATATATACAAGATCTTGTGGTAGCTCACAGCAAAAAAGAATGCAACAATAAATATATGTATGTTCATGTATAACTGAAAAATTGTGCTCTACACTGGAAACTGACACAACATTGTAAAATGACTATAACTCAATAAAAAAAAAAGTAAAAAAAAAAATCCTTCCCTACCACAAGGTCATAAAGATATTTGCCTGTCTTATCTTCCAAAAGTTCTCAAGTACTTGTCACATTTAGATCATAAAAACACTTTGAATTTGCTTTTGTATACAATGTACAGTTGGGATTTAATTTAATTTTTTTCCATATGGGTAACCAATGGCTCCAGCACATCTGTTAAATAATTCCTCCTTTCCACACTGTGATGTATCAAGTTTCCATTTATGTGTGGGTCTGTTTCCGGGCTCTCTACAGTGTTCCATTGATCTTTTTATTTTTATCTGCACTATCTTAATTCCTATAGTTTATAAGAAGTGCTGACATCTGGTAGGGTATATCGTGCTGTTTAATACTGTCTTTGCTATTTTTCCCATTTAGAATTTTAATTAGAATTTAATTAAATCTCTAAGTGAATTTAGGGAGACTTGACACCATTGCTTATTAAGTTTTCCTATACATGATCATATTTTGTCCCTCCATTAACTTAGGTTTTCTTTAATGTCATTCAAAAAAGATTTCCATTTTTCTGCATATAGGTCTTACACATCATTTATAAGATTTATTCCCGGGTGTCTTTTAGTTTTTGTTGCTATCATAAGCTCTAACTGTTGCACTATTGATTTTTTTTATATTGCTCTTACATCCTCAAACCTTCTTA